GTCAGCCAGCCAGCCAGCCAGTCAGTCATCCAGTCAGTCAGTCACCAGAGTCTTGTCCAAAACCACATTTCATCTATCTTGGAATTGAACAGACATTGGACAGCGAATGGAACGATCGACTTTCGGTAATCTTCAGTCCGACATCGACAAGTAACGTAAACGGACCTTGTGTTTGATCGCTTCGAATGGCACTGTTGGCAACATTAGTACAATGGATGGGTTTCGTCAGTCAGAATAGAACTGCCTAGAACAATTGCTGCCTCTAACAAGTTTCTTGCTAGGTTGCACCCAAGCACGCCAGCGTCACAGTTACAGTCTGCCAAGTAGTTTCAAAAGGTTCCCAATGTGAACCAGTTATTTTATCCGATTGCAGAAGTAGAAGGTTGCAGCGCAGAAGAAAAACGGTAGCAAGCAGGATTATATTAAGGCAATCAGTACATCTGAACCAACGCACAACTTCCTCCCTCTGCGTAACACTGAAACCGCATTTTGTCAACAACTGCATTCATCTGTTGTTCCCAGCCAAGGTTGTCATCCACCAACAACTCCAGGTATTTTCCCGCTCAGTCTTTTTCAAAACAGGTTGTTGCAGAACAACACCGTTCGTAAAGCAAGGTCCTTACAATCTCTGTTTACATGCCTTGTACGATGAAAATTACAATCCACAGACTTCTTTGGATTTAGTATTAATTCACTGGCTGTCATCCGGTGCCCAGCCTTTTGAATGGAGATGAGGAAACGCAATAATTCCGATTTGAACAGTATTGAAAGTAATAGAACAATACCGCCAGCGTGCTTTATGTACCTGATGGTAGCATCAGATGAAAGACACCACGGCGAGTAAAAAATTAAAGATAGGATCCATGTGCGACAATCGCGCTGTTATGTCAACCACAGATGCTTTTTTGTCGATCTGAATAAACCACAGAAATCTCGAATACTACGTGGCCGACAGGATGAAAAATGTTAGACATTTCATACTGTCAGAACCCACATTAATAACTGGCCAACAATGAAGATTTGCAGGCTGAGCCGCAGTCCAAAAAGGCACCTTAACTAATGCCTGCCCTTTGTCGATGTTGCTGGTAACCGTATTGACAACTACAACCAACGCATCCAGAGTAATGCGTCGCCACATGTAATCCAACTGTCAGGGGCCGATATGTTCTAACGCCTTTGAATAAATCGACGGCGAGACGATTCTTCCAAGCATTTAAACGCATTCAGAGTCACTGCAATAAGCATGCAATCAGCTGCTGTAAAGGACGTAAAAATATTTCAGGATATGAGTCATTCGCACGGTTTTTCATGAACCCGGAACCACACACAATCTGACAGACAGCGGTTGCACAGTCAGACAAAAAGCACAGAAAATGAATCGGCACCAAGCTTCAAGACTATGGGATCGTAGTTGTGTTGTCTTGCAATCGTTAAAGCTTAAATTTTCCTGAACTACCGACTCTATTAGCCGAAATAATTTACGACGACACGCCGATTTCGCAGTTCAGAAGGACTGCTTCAGACAAGCTGCTAAACGGATAAGCGGTTGCTTTTTTATTTTCGAAATGGTAGAAAATGGTTCTTCAAAGTCTCAGGGTCTGCATCCAAAGCACTGTATATCAACTGCCAGTTTCAACTGCACAGTCGCTTATTCGTGGTCAATTTATCCTCCGCAGGTTGTACAGTCCAAGATGGCAAAGGATTGTTGGACATAGAGTCGAACAATTTCAAATTTCAGTTGCTTTTCGCAACATTTAACGGCTACTTTGCTTCCAGCCATATATTCTACTCTTTTGAGCCGTTTAACACCGTCCGATCTTCAGCCAACGTTCATACAGTAAATTTCTGCCGGAGGCAACAAGCATCCAAACCAAAGTTCATGGAAGCCATTACGGCTTGCACATGTTTGCTTACGTCGTCATCATTGAAAACGTCCCAAACCGTCGTTTCCATCATAGACTGGAAATGGCTAATACTCGCAACATCTAAAGAACTCGGAATAACAACACGCCAACTGCGCCGAACCAATGCGTGTTGCCCACATTTGCTGGATAGACACGTTATAATACGTATGACACGATAATTAGAAGTATCCAAAGGTGCAAAACCCTTAATGCCGAAACAATCAGGATTGTTTACCACTGTACAATCCAGTCAAAGGTCACGATTTGTGGGAAACCAAACGAGGTCAATGAGATCAAAATCCGTTAACATGTTAGGACATGTAGATTAACGTCGCCCATGAACATAAGCGGTCGACTGTTCAAGCGGAGATTCTCCACCGATTAATCAATCACCGAGCGTTTGCAGTGAGGGGTCATGTACAGTTACCAACGAGAATGCTTGAATATGGCGGCAGGTACCTTGGCTTGCACTCCATCACGAGACATCATAGACCTTCGCAGAATTTAAACTTATCCGAACAGTTTGAACATCAGATCAAGTTGATCCACGCTACTCTACAACCAACACGCGACTTAACTTTGCCGTGACGACCAAGGCGGTAACAAACAAAGTCTTTAAAACTGATTAGTTGTCAACGTTCATGTGATGCAGCCAAATTTCTTGTAAGAGAATGGCGCAAGTGTTGCCGAGAAGAGGCACGGCTAAAAGCGCCTTGAGCCCATAGATCTTTGGTAGAATCGCGCGGCAACAGGTGGAAATTATCGCAGGAAAATGCACGTTTTTGGCGGGAGCTCTTTTGGCAGCAGTTTGTCATCCGCCTCTTCTACCACTCTACTCGTCCGAATACTTCCAAAGTTCGTCATGGAAGAAGTCAAGACGAACCAACAGGAAATCCAGGAATTGGCACGTGCTGCAGTTACATGCGACTTTAGCCCTCAGATATGGAATATTAGCGACAATGTTTCCAAACAATTGGACCAATATCTTACACAGTGTCGAAATGAACAGACCAACCGACTGTTTCATGTAAATACATACGTAGCTGCGATAAAGAGCAATACTGTTAGAACGACTGAAGGATTCGCCAAAAAATTGTTCACATTCGCAAATGTTCTTTTCCTCACAAACTTACGGCAGATTTTCGGTGCTATTTCCTTGGTATGTTCCTTCAAGAACTATTCTGTTATCTGAAGATAGCAAGGACAAATATTTACAAGAAACTGATAGACAGTCAGTCCAGAATCTTGAGTCAATCCATCTTAGAATGCTTTAACTCGAGACCAAACGTAGCTGTTTTTGTCATTTTGGCTAAGTAGTATGTCAAAGAAGGAGCTTCCATTAGTGAAGCACTGTTGATTAAGGCAATACTTAAAGTAAGCTGCATAATATGCATATCGTTTCGATGTTCTTACACGGCAAACTGCAACTGTCACACTGTTTCCGACGGCCTAAACAGCCACTGAGCAGACCATAGCTCTGCGGAAGTAGCATCTGCAGTGCATAAATTCAAAATCGCATCACCATGCTGGACCCTAATCAAAATATACTCAAAACGCTAGCTGATAATCTGAGTTTTAATCAAAAATGCTGATTATGACACGGCCTAATATAGATATACAAACCTGATACAGATAAAACAGAATAACATATACGCGTCATTCCCAGTTTTGCACAGCCTAATGTACAGCAATGTCATTTTCTTCTACAGATTTATGGAACTTTCAAAGCGGCTATCAGCTAAACTGCAACACATCTAGCTCATGTACTGTGTTAATAACTCCAATTATTTATTTTCCAGTAGAAACGGTTTTGGCTGATTTTTAACAGATTGCTGTTCAACCTCAGAGAGATGCGGTTTTCCATGCATGCACTGCAGTTCTGTATTACCATGGGGTGTGGACTGCTTAATTAGATCCCTAGACCGCTACGAGCAAAGTTCGGTGTGAGTTTGCTACTTAAACTTGAAGAAGTTGAATATATTTGATATTCTAACTGTTAGTAATGAAAAGTAAGTTCTTTCAGTAATTCAAGATTTTACCTTGGCATTACATGCAACTGCATCAGATTAATCATAAATTTACGAATTACCCTACACAATTTGGACGGTCATCGTAAAGACAATAAGTACAATAGAGATTTATCAGGAATCTATCAATAACTGAGTCAAGTTAATGGTTCAAGACGTAAATATTAAAACTGTAAGTCATTCAGCGTTCTACACCTTTCATATTTAATTACTGGATAAAAAATGTACCGGAATATGAAGAAAGACATTACACCAAATATCGTCGATGTAGCACTAAGAAAGATGAGGGCCAACATCCAGGGAGGCATTTCTGTAAACAGAATCCATACAGCTCATACACCTTATACTTTAAAGTTAACAAACCTTTCGTGGGGCATAGTGAATTGTCGTATCCACAGATGGGCTCATCTGGAGGAGGAACACCACCGATCCAGTGCCATTTACCAATGTTGAAGAGTTTTCCTTTGGAGCCAACAGAATACGCAACTTCCTAAAACACGGTGAAACAAAATTTTTAATAAAAGATTCAGTACCTCATAGCTACCCGTTTCGGGATTAAGGTCTAACACGGAATAATCTGAAATGCGGTCACCGTTGGTATTGATCGTCACGTTTCCGGCAATTCCTGAAAAGCTTTACGGTGCACTGTTATACGGAAAGCAATCAGAAACCTCACAACGTGCTTTACTCGTCCAAACCCTTTGGACAGGATGGAGGTTTGAAAGAGGAATCGCAATAGTTCACGAGGGGTGAAACACTGAATGAATTGTTGAATAATTACTCGCCAAAAACGTGCAAAAAGTTAGAAGATTGGACTTGTGTAGATTTGCGTTCGTAGCAATTCAGATGAAAGATGATAAAGGATGAAGAACACGCAAAAACTTGGCTGATTTCAATTTTTG